ATGAATTTTAATGAGTAAATTACAGAACATCAAAATAATCTTTAATTTTTTTAACAAGGGTATCACAGCTTCTTTTCAGCAAGTTTCAGAAAATTGGCAATAATGTTAAGCTTTTTTCTATAACTATACATACAGAAAATGTACACTAGTGTTTCTGAGTCACTAAATTATAAATATATATGTTAGTAGAAGTTGAGCATCCTTAATCCAAAAGCCAAAATCTGAAACTTTTTGGGCACCAACATTATGTCAATAAATAGAAAATTCCGCATCATGAAATTTTGTTTCATGCACAAGATTATTTAAAATACTGTTTAAAATTACATTTTGGGGGGCCAGCACCATGGCATAGTAGGTTAAGCCTCTGCCTATGGCCTCGGCATCCCATTTGGGCACCAGATAGTGTCCTGGCTGCTCCTCTTCCCATCCAGCTCTTTGTTATGACCTTGAGAAAGCAGTGGAAGAAGGTCCAAGTGCTTGAACCCCAAAACTCAAAAAACTCCTGGCTCCTGGCTTCAGATCAGCCCAGTTCAGTCGTTGCGGCCATTTGGGGAGTGAACCAGCAGACAGAAGACCTTTCTCTCTGTCTCTCCCTCTCTCTGTAACTCTACCTGTCAAATAAATAAAACCTTTTAAAAAAAATTACACTTTGGCTATGTTGTATAAGGTGTTATGAAACACAAACGAATTTTGTGTTTAGACATGAGTCCCATCCCCAGATAACTCAACATGAAAATATTACAAAAATCAGAAAAATGGTCACAAGTATTTCAGATAAGGGATACTCAGCCTGTATAAGTAACATAAGGTAAGACAATAAATACAATACATACACACCTATACTCATAATTGTTTAGGAGTTCTAGTTCCTATTTACAAAAATGTAGCTTATTGCAAGAAGGGAAGATTTGATGTTTCTGCTAGATTCTAAATTTGGTTTACTTACCAGCAAGTTATCTTTTAAGATGCAGAAAGACTCATATGGGCAATGTGTATTATAGGCCTCAAGTTGATACTATCAAGAACTTGTCAAATGGAAGCTAAACTGGGACTCCACTCCCTCACCCCACATTGCCAATGTAATCAGTAACATTCTAAGTGACCTATGCCAAATTGTAAAATGCATTTGACATCACTGAGGGAAGATTCAACTAGGTTCTACAGCTTACACGACTGAGTTAATCTGACTGTATTCTAATACTCTGAAAACATGTCATTTACATATTTATCTACAGCAAAATTAACAAATAGTTAAAGACTACTGATTAGGCTATCCATTGAATATAAAGATGTAAAGTGCAGGGGCTAGCGCTGTGGTATAGCAGTTGAAGCCCGTGCCTACACACTGGCATCCCATGTGGGCATCGGTCCAGCTCCCTGTTAATGTGCCTGGGAAGACAGTGGAGGATGGCCCAAGTACTTGGGCCCCTGCACCCACATGGGAGCCCTGGAAGGGGCTCCTGGCTCCAGGCTTCATCGTGACCCAGCTCTGACTATTACAGCAATTTGGGGAGTGAACCAGCGGATGGAGGATCTCTCTCTGTGTGTGTCTCTAACTCTGCCTTTCAAATAAATAAATAAATCTTTGGGGGAGGGGGAAGATGTCAAGTACAAATACAGAAAGTTAACTAACTTGAAAACTCAACTATTTACAACATAAGAACAGAATTTAATCACCAATAGCCAAGTGGGAGGGGCTTGAGCTGTGCAATGTAATAAATGCTAATATCTAAGTGCTACTTAAGCACTCTGAGTGCTTTATTTTATTCTTTCATCATTTAATACTCAGATTATTAGCAAGATATTATTCTTTTCTAAGTGACATGAAACTTTGTTTCTGAGGTTAAATAACCTGCCAAAGATTGAGTTAGTTGCTGTCTTTTTATAAACTGCAGAGAAAGAGAACAAGAGAACCAGAGAGATTATAGCACTGATAGAACACCTAATTTCAATAAAAACATACTCAAAGAATTATAAAAAGTGATTTTTTTTGTTTCGTACTCCACATTGTGTATATCATTACCTAATGGCTTAGGTTTCCCTCTTCTGGGCAACCCCACAGTACCTCATGTTTATCTCTACTATAAACACCAATCTCAAGACAACTCTGAAAGCACCTTGAAGCCAGGTTTCTGCTTATTCATGTGTTGTAGGTCCAACTGCTTATAACATGTATAGAAAATAATCAAAGTGCTTTTAAAAGATCCACATCATGTATGATGTTCTGCCATCTTATAAACTTCCATCTTAAGATAAACCTTGCTTAAAAAGGAGAGGCTAGAATCCCAGTCAAAAGGGGCCCTACGAAGGTCAAATCTCACCAATGACATACCTCTGCTAATATTCTCAACCTCACAAGAAAAAAAAAAAGCACGAAGGAAAAGTGAGATAAATTTGTGAATTTGTTGTCATCATAAAAAATATGGAATTCCAGAATTAAGTAAATGAAGCTTATCAAGTTAGATGTTGTAAACCTAGTCCACTTGACCTTTATACCTAGGAATTTTTTAGACTTGTAAGTCTGTCAACCTGTGAAATTCTTAAAGACTTCAGTTTTTCAAATAACAAAATGTGTACCTTCCCAAAACCAACTAACAGCACATCTGCATAAATTTTTTCAGAACTTTCAGAACATGAGGTCTTCCAATTGTGAGGGATTTTTTTTTTTTCAACAAATTGACAGGATAAAGTTTAGCATAGCTAAGGTTATGTTAAATGTAAGCAGCATATCAAAGCAGCAAAAAAGAAAACAACTGTATTTGGTAAAACTAAGCAAAGTATTTTGTGTTAAACGGATTGATCAGATAGTCTATCTTTTTAAGTCTAAAAATCTTTTAATTCTAAATCTGGGTCCACTTAATCAAACAAAACTATGCCAAACGCTGTAGGAAGTCTATGAATGCTAGTATTACTAACATCAGAAGTTTGATCAACAAGTTGTTAGATCAACAAGCAGCTTATATAAAGAAAATTCTGTTTCCATACTTATTAAGCATCAGTAAGTCTCAACAACTGTGCCCTATTCAAAGGCTGAATTCTAAAATAAACATTGATGGAAACAACTTGTCAAAAGAGTTCACAAATTAGGGTGTTATAACACTATGAACCAAAAAAGGAATCTCTTTAAAAGAGCACTGTGCAGTAACACAAAGCTAGTATCTATCTCTACAACTAAAAGCAGAGTTGACCCTAAAAACTTCAATTTACACCTCCTCTTAATCAGTCCATCTGCCTACACTGCTTAAGTGTCTGGGCTCCAAAATAAAATATCAAGCCCTTCCAGTGATTATAAAGTCTTTTTGTATACAACCTCTTTCCTTCTTCCATGTGAATACCAACATGTTCCTTCAACAAGTAATCAACAATTCTTTTGCACAACTATTGTCAAACTATTACGCGAATTCTACTTTATCAGCTGTACACATAACCTACGTTAAGTCTTCCACAAGGCTTTTTCTAACTAGATCTGCCTCTCTACAGGTACAAGCACCGGTATTCTCTCAGTTCTTACCATAAACTAAGTCAGGATAGTAAACTGTTAACACCCCCACCAACTATGCTGGAACCCAACCGCAAGGAGCATCCACAATCCTGGAAAAGCACAGCACACCAATTCAATCTAGAGGCTTGCATCAATTTTAAGAGATAACAGCAATAAGAACTTTGCCTTGGCACCAAAACTCCTAGGGATCACGGAGGCAGAAACAGTGTATATTATAAAACATGCCATTTATTATATTATATTATACTCTGTATAAATCAGAAACTTTCATCACAGTACTGCTTAGAAACGTGGTGGTGAACTGGTAGTGGAAATTCTCAGCCGATAAGGGGCACTCAATCTCATCCCAAGTTTGCCTCTCCCATAACCAACTACCTGGACTCACCTATCTCTAACACACTAAGTCACACTAGCCAAGAAATTCGCACACACCCCTCCTTTTATTAAATTCCAGTATAACTTTAGGATTTCATGAGCCAAGTGTTAACTTCTGCCCCTTTCATCTTCCTCAACAAGAGCCCTCGAATGAATAACTACCTGCAGTGTTTTGATCCCATTTAAGATATTTACAGCTCATTTCCAAAGGCTGATGGCCTTTTTTCCCCAAATCACCACCTTCCATTAATTATCACTGATGGCTATTTCTCTTGCAGGAAAGGCAGATTTTTATTTATTTATTTTTTTAACAAGTAGGCCTCCAGTCTCTGCTATCTGGGAATGAAACTTGCAAAGAAAGTAGCTCCAAAATGTGACACAGAGAAACCGTAGCACGGCAAGGGCTTGGAAGAAAGACAAGGGGGATCCACCCGGACACAGTAGATGCAATCAAGAATTTAACACGTAAATCTGGGTCCTGGGGCCAAACACGGTTTGCTAAAAGGAGCCTGGACGGAGGGAGAGACGTCCCACAAACGGGAAGGCAGAGACCGGCTCAGTTTAGAGACCCGGAGGCAGCCAAGGCAGAACCGGGCCGAAGGGCTGTAGGGAATACTGCGGCAGGGTGGGCTAAGATGGTGCCTTCCCCAGGGTGGAAGGCCACGAAGGGTGGACCCCAGGGCTTCCTTCCACCGGGCTCCGGGCTCTAGGGTTTCTGGGCTCCCAGCTCAAGTTTCACAGACAAGGGGAGGGGAAGGAGACATCCAACGTGCATCCCGGCACCTTCACCCCAGCCCAGAAGTCCGCGCTCTCCGCTCTAGCTCCGCGAGAAAGCGAGGAAGTAACGGTCCCCCGAGCACACCCGGAGGAGCCCCGCGCCCCAAGTGTCGCCGACCCCCGGCCATCCGCGCCGCGACCCACCCGCGCGGCCGCGGGCGTCGCACTCGCCGGCCTGGCCCTGCGCCGGCCTCGCCCCGGGCGCGGCGAAAAGTTTCCAGCCAAAGTCCGCGGCACTCGCTCGCGCAGCCAACCGCCGAACACAACCGCCTAGCCGCCCGGCCGCAGCGCCGGGACCCCTGGCCGCGCCTCCCTCAGCCCGCGCCGGCCGCCGAGGTTCACCTACCACAGAGCCGGGAGAAGAGCAGCAGCGGAAAGAGCAGCAGCAGCAGCGGCGGCGGCGTCGGGGGCGGCAGCAGGAGCCCGGCCCCGGGGGGAGAAGCGGAGGAAAGTTGTGCTTTGCCGCCTCCGGGACACAGCGGGGCCGGCCCTGGGGTCCGCGCCATCCCCCACCCTCCCCCCGGCCCGCTCGCTGGCCCGCCCGCCCCCCGGCTTCCCTAGCCCCGGCGCTTCAGGCTCTGGGCGGCGGCAGCAGCAGCAGCCGCGGCGGCGGAAGGTCCGGCGCGCGCGTCCCGAACTCCCAGCTCCTGCGCCGTCGCCGCCGGGTGACACTCAGCCGGGCGCTCGCGGCTGCCTCCACTCCGCCGTCGCCGACGCCACTGCCGAGGTTCTCAAGCGGGAGCCGCCCGCCGCTGCTGCTGCCGCCGCCGCCACTCCCCTCCCCCCGGCACCCGCCCGCCTCGAACTCCTGGGAACTCGGAACGCACCACCCCGCCCTCGCGGGAGGGGGAGAGGAAGCCGACCCTCAGAGCCGGCGCTGGGACTCGCCCGCCCTCCCCGCGCAACTCCCGACTCCCGTCTGATCCCGGGGTGCAAGCCGCGTCCCCTCCCACCCCCCCGCCCTCCTACACACGCTCCTCCCCTTTCAAGAAGGAGAGAAAAAAAAAAGCCTCTCCTCATCCAGTTTGATAACGGGGTTCCTCCCAAAGCAGAGCTTTAAAAAGGACAGGAAAATCTGGACTAGGTTAGCCGGCCCCGCCCCTCGCTCCCGCCTACCGCCAGCCCCCCCCCTTGCCAGGGTTTGCAATGGTCTCGCCCACTCCGCCCCTCGCGGGTCCACCCCGGCCCCGTGCAGACAGAGGCGGAGGGCTTCGGGACAAACGCCGGCCCGGGCGGCGTTCTCGCTCTGGCGGGGACCCGGCACGAGGAGGGGGTGGTGAGGGGAAGGCAGCACGAGGCTGCCCTTCCGTTGTCCGCGTTCAGGGTCCCTCCCCAGGAGCTGGACGCAGCCTTGCTGGACCGGTCGTCTTCCTCCTCGCCGGGGCGTGGGGGGACTGAAAGGAGAGACCGTCTCCTCCCTGCTCGCTGGGACAGCTGTGCTCTCCGAAGCCTCCCTTCTGCCCACCTCCCCCTCCCCGGCTGACCGAGGCACGTCTGCACCGGCGTTTCTCCGGCTCCTTTCTGTGGGCGGGCGGCTTGGTGGAAGGGTCAGCGGAGCTGGGCGAGGACGGGGGCCCCCGAAGGCTGGCTTCCTCGCTCTTGCTTCTGTCTGGCCGCCGGGCTCGTCCGCTTCCCGCGCCGGACGACTGGCAACAGGAGGCCGTGGATTTCGCCCCTCGGAGGGCTCGGAGTGCGGTGGTGTTTTTCTTGTTGGGTTTCATTGGCATGCTCGCACGTGTCGTTTGCGTTTCCCTTTGAAGCTGGCCGCCAGAAAGCGACCTCGGAAAGTAGCCGAGATTCGCCTGTGAGAGGAGCGGCGGTGGCCCTCGGCGACCGCCGCCAGCACGGCCCCGGCGGCTTGACCTTGCTAACCATGGCCACCGAAATTCCGCGAGGGGGTGGGAGGGTGGACGGTTAGGGCCACCAGGCGTGACGGTGGGGCTGGGAGGCGGGGGACGCCCTCCTCGAGTCCGACACCATTAATTTCACTTGGGTCCTGCCATGGCCACAATCACAAATGTGACCCAATAAGAAGACGAACAGGGATCAGGCGCCAGAGGCGAGCCTGTCTCGGCTGCACTATAGCGGGCCTGCGGCCGAGACCACGCGGCCCCCTCCGCTTCCTGGACCTAGGGTGTCCCCAGCCTCCGCCCCCCGGGCTGGCCGTGTTTGACTCACTTTCGAAGCTGCACACCATGCCACCCCCTGCCCACCTCTGCTTGTTCTTTCCTAACTTGGCGACTCCCATCCGCTCTCCAAGCTCCCGGTCTAAGTACCTCTTTTCCTCCGCCCCCCTTTCCTCTCGCTCCCTGAGCCTACCGCTATCGTCCTCCTGCAGCCACTGCTTTCTGTCGCCTATCCTCAGGATGCACTCAGGAGTACACCCTGTCCTGCATTGCTCCGGGAGATCCCCCGAAGATCATCACAATTGACGAAGTGTAGCTATTGTGACATTCCTCAGCTGTGCTGACACCACCGTTTCCCTTGAGAAAATTTCTTCTCCTGTTTTCGCGTTCCCTAAACCTAATTTGACTGCTATATTTAGACAGAGCCCACTGTGCAATCACTAGCTCATTATCTGTTTAGATAGCACTTTAACACTTTGTTGAGACTGCGTTAAACAACCAAAATGTTAATATCACTAGCCAATTTCATTCCCCCAGCCTTTCCCTGATGGTTCCAGGCTCCAGGAAAAGTAATTTAGCCAACATTTAGAAAGGTGCCAAAGGCTCAGTACGAGAGCCACCGTGCAACTGCTACAGAGAGCACAAGGAATTGGCAGGTTTAGCGCTTCTCAGAAGAATGATGAAGCGCTTTAAAAACGACGTTTCCTCCATATTTGGAGGAACTGAGTAACAGTGAGATGCTATGCTTACATTCTGTCACCTAAAGTGAAGCGTGAACATGGAAGAACAGTACAGATGCTACCTAAGCATTAGAAGAGTACTATGCTGGTGTTGTCTGTGCATTATGTTCTAATGTTCATCATTTGTGTTGATATAGCATCTTCAACCAGAGATGTCAAAGCACACCACCCTCCCTTTCCACGGAAGGTAGCAATTACTATTATCTCTGCTCGACAGCTGGAGAGACCTAGGCACAGAGGTGCCAGTCGCGTGCAGAGGTTTCCCTGCAAGAACCAAGTTCTTCCCTTCTAGAAGACACCCCTCAAAATTCCACCTTAAAAGAAAATGTACTAAATTCAGATTTGTATTTCTAAAAGTGTCCCGTCTTAAATCGCATTCTCAGGTTATGAGATGCTTAGATGTGCCCATTCTGGGCTTTTCTGTTGTAAATTAATATTGGACACAGAAAAAGATTTTACATTAATAGCACATTTTTTTCAAATACCAAAACTGATGTTTTTAAACATTTAATATCTAATAAATAATTTTCTAACTATTCACATTTATTTTTTGAGCGGTAAACTAGTTGAAGGGATTCTTAATCATTGGTAACTTATTTCTGATATAAAAGTGGTCAGTCATTTGCTCAAAAAATAAAATTTGACCAAAAACATGTCCCTGATGTCAACAATGGTTCCATTGTTTGGGGGAGAATTCTGATGGTATCCATCCCACTTTCTGCCAGAAAGACTGTTTGCCAATTATCAAAGTTCATTAACTCTTTTCTGAAAAATAAGCTTGACATTTTAACAAAAGTAATTATGTACAGTGCTGGACATTTTACACTTAAATAATACATATTAAAGGCTTGAAAATATCACTTGGTTTTCATAGCTGACTCTAAAACAAAATCATTTTTTAGTAGAAATAGGACATTATATACTTCAGTTTATTTCCCTTAGCATCAGCAAATTTTTTCTAACCTGCTGTGTAAAGAAGCACAGCTTTCCCCACAGTGGAAGAGCTGAGCACTACTTTGTGGAATGTTTGAATTTGGTCCTAGATTGGTAATAAGTTGATGTTATCCAACCAGGGTCACAGTCTTCTAAGGAGAACTATGCTAAGAGTTAAAAACAAACTATAAATCCACAAAAATGTCCACCCACTTGCAGGATTTTCACCGACCTCAGATTTACCAACTGCAACTTCTTCCTACTTGCAAGATCTTCCTCCATATAATCACACCATTTTCTTCTCATATTTCCTTTGAACCTTGCTCAAATTTCATTTTGTCACAGAAACTGTCTAGGACCCCTTCTTTCCAATGATCTGCCCCAACCCAAACCCCATCTCCTTAACTTGCTGTATTTTCTCCTTTACACTTGTCATGTGACATACCCTTTTCCCTTCACTAGAATGGCAGACCCAAAGGGCAGGTGGAATGTGCTCTCTGTGTTTCACTGCTAAAGCCGTGATGTCTGCCACCTAAGTTTGAGATCGGATACTTAAATAATAACTACAGTGATATAGCACACAAGTGCATATCTAATGACAAACTCAGTAGAAACAATTGTGTAAAGTCCTGAGCATATCTTGTTGATTTTTTCAAACTAGAATGTGGTTCCTTTGACAGTGCTTAAGAGTCTTGACTTAGTTGCTATTACTGCTGCTTAGTGAACTATTAAATTCTAGATCCATACTTCTGTACTCTGATTTGTAATGCTGGAGCCAAGACTCTGCAAACTACCTCACTTCCTTTACTAGCTGGCTTCCTAAGAGATTTTATCAATGGCAGTCACTGGAGGGAGGTGGAAGGTGATGGGACTTGTTCTTTTCCCTTTACTTCTTGCTTCTATCGGCATCAGCTCAGCAGCAACACTTCATCACCCTGTCCTCAGCAGTAGGTCCCAGTTTCCTACTCATTTCATACGCAAAATCAGACCATGACCCCTCAAAGGTACCAGCCCTAGTTGTACTGTTCCCACTTCTCAGAGGGCCAAGCCCCACACCCGCAGGATCTTGCTCCGAGCTTCTCATTTCTAATCACCCAGCCATTTCCTTTGTTGCCCCAGCTGTAATCTGGGTCACCACAGTGCTTCCCCTTTGCTCTAAGACCCACTCCAGCCCTGTGTAAACATTTCACTATATTAAGTTCTCTCAGTTATGTAGTATGCGGTTTTTATTCCTTGTTGGACCTCAATTGATGTTCTTTTTTTCAGTGATTATTTCCAAAACCCTTCCCTTGTAACAGTTACTTTTCTATGAGTCAAACTGTTTAAAATCACAGTGCCAACATCAACCCATCAATTAATGTAAATAGACGCAACAAGGCAAATGAGCAAAAATTGCTCTATTTCATTGGCAATAATCCAAGGTGAATTTGAAATAAGCAAATTTGGGGTAATTATGTTGGTTTTTTAGTCATATATACATATGTTTTGTTTTTTTGTTGATGTTCCTCCTGAAGGTCATGGTAAAAGCCAAATGTAAATTTCTCATTTTAGGTAGATTAGGTGATCTATTTCTTTTATAGGCCTTGATTGCCCCCTGAGAATCATGAAACGAAAAGGTAAAGGGATTACTTATTTAGGAAAGGAAGAACTGGGCTTCTCTCCCAAACTTACATTGAAAGCAAACATTATATTCCATGTAATGATCTAAAACCTAATGCTATTTATATTATGTAACTGTTTTATATGGAGTGCTGGAGTTCCAAGGAATATAGTCTGAAAAACTGATATTCAGGCAGAAAGAGCTGTACTTCAAAGTTACTTCAAAACATTTGTGGAAAATAATTAAAAGATAAGGTTATCTTGATGCAAAAAAATTTTTTTTTAATCCATGCATACACAGAGTCTTCAAGGGGCTGAAAGTTAGGCCGCCTGCAGTACTGGCATCCCCCTATAGGTGCCGGTTTCAAGTCCCGGTTGCTCTACCTCCAATCCAGATCCCTGCTAATGCATCTGGGAAAGCATAAGATGGCCCAAGTGCTTTGGCTCCTGCACTTACATGGGAGACCCGGAAGAAGCTCCTGGCTTCAGCC